AGGACTGATCTCGTTTGGGAGCACTTTTAGCACTACCCTCCCTTATGTAACCGAATAGCATACTACTGTGGCTTCTCACTTTTTTGTAGGGACCCCAAATGGCTGCCGTTCCACGGAAATTCGGCCAGGTCGATATTCCGTGTAAGACTGAATGCGTCTGAAGCACCCAGTCAGCTGTGAGCCATGTAAATGGTTCGAACAAAGCTCACGCATCGCTATGTCGTTATCATCAGTTCGCGAGCGGAATCTCTGCAGCATGCGACAACAGCAGCAAGCGTATGTCCCTGTCTGTGCTTTGTTGACGCCTGGCGACTACCTAGGCTACTTCCGGTTCATTCGATTGGTACCCCTCTCTTGCCAGGCCTATTCTATTCAGGCTGCTTTTAAAAAATCATCGCGAACAGTTTGCCTTAATATTTTTGTTCGATCTCTTCCTTAGTGATACGCGCCCGTGTGCCGGTCTCTCCCGCACCAAAGTTCTAGCAGAAGGTATCGTCAACTGAAGCGGTTACTGTGAGGTAATCGCCACGATAGGTGCTGTTTTGCAATCAGGCAACAGTGTTGTTGACATCCATGACATACCATATTGGACGTCCATTCCTATTGAAATTTATGGCTAACTTCTGTCAGTCGTTTGGCCAGTCGTTCTCTTTTGCTGCCTTGTTATTTGCCGTTCAGCGCTTGCTACATCACAGTTGCTCGATCGACGTCTGTCGCGGTCCACGTTTGTTCCGGATGAGCGGAGCTCGATAACTGCTGCCTCCCTCAATCTCGGTGGTGAAGTACATGGACGACATAGCGTTCGCCTCTCTGTTTCTATTGGCATGCGTTGAAGCAAGATAAGCGACCAAACGCGCATGCACATGACGAAAATACACAGGATTTTCTAAATTAAGTAGTAGCTTTCCCAGTACCCTTAGCTTATGGCTCTAGCGACTGCTGGTCTATTGGGTGTACGTTGTCAGGGGAACAACAATCAAATTGAGGGTTATAACGTTCCGCCAGACAAACCACCAACACTGAAGGCGCACTACATATACCCATACACAAAACGTAATGCATGTGTGTGTACGTCGCTCTTGATGACACTTTCATAAACCTCAAGCAGTTAGGATAATACATTCTAATTTTTATCGATACTTTAATAAGGATAGCTAATGTTGCTATTCTGTAACGACGCAGTAAGTTTTCGAGATTTACGTAAGTATGCTTGCTTTAGAGTTTCTTTGCATTTGTATTTCTACTGAGTTCGCGAAACGTTTGGATATTAAGAAATGCCTTAGAGCAGGAGAGAAACCTCGACTTGAACCGTTTTTTAAACCGCATGGTGAAACCGACAAAATGCTTGGGTCATCCTGTTCGAAGCTAACAAGCGCCTAACTTTCTCCTCCTTTACCGGCTTTCAAAATGCAGAAGAAGCGGAATAACTGCGGTAGATAGCGGGTAGATGCTGGTGCGGCTTCCCAAAGCTGTAAACGACCTCGCACCAGGTCAGCCGGCGACGCGACTGGACAGAGAGCCCTACCCAACCGACAAAACTTGAGCCAGAGCAGAAACGAACAAACCGGGTGGAATGAGATGGTTTGTTCACTTGCTGGTGCTGGTGCTGTTGTTGTTGTTGTTACTGAATGTTTGCCTACCTGTTTGCCCGGCTAGCCGCTTGTTTACAGCTTTTGCCGCTGCTGTTGCTCACATAAGGGCAGCCGATGGTTGCTAGGTATTCGAGGAATTTTTTTTGGACTCGTTCCTATTGCTCCAGTGTAGATTGACCGCTTCACTTGATCTCAGCACAGAAGAGAATCGACGCACTACTGCGACGTTTCATCTGCCTTTGTTAGCTGCTTTACTAGTGGGAAGGCATTCGTTCTGATACATCTCAACCCATCTTTTATTGTGGTGAAAACCGGAGAGTTGGCGAAGTGCGCGGGGGCGGAATACAACGCAGCTTGGAGAATGACGGGTCGTCCTCTTCTCCTTACCCAGCCTTCAGCACAGACACGAGGCAGGCACGCACACGCACATACTAACAGTGCCATACGTATACCTTAAAGAGATCTTTGAGGCTTATGATACCTTATACGATGCCCGTTTTATATGGCTATATGCGCATGTATAACGCCATTTGGTCGTCTATTTTCCTATATTCACTGCCATAGGCATTAGCTGACACAGTGAATGAATGAGATGCTTGTTCTTGCAGGTGGTCATTGGCTTAAAGAAATTTTGTTCAGGTGCGCGAGGATCGCCAAGATCCTGACGGTTGCCACTTAGTCAAAGGGCAATTGACGATCACAAGATGTAAAACGAAAGATAGTGAAGACCTCCACGGGAGGCTCATTCATAGCAGACAAAAACCCTCTTTCTAGGCACCTAGAGCTAAATGTTTCGCGTTTTACGTCCGGCATTCCATCAGATGACTAGCCCCCACTACGAAGCAAAGTGCGCTTGCGCTCGGGTTCGAGCTCAGACTAGCACGTGACCCTCAAGCTTAGTATTTTCTAAACGCCTACCAAAAATTATCCTCCTTCTTGCGCTAGTCATAAATGGCGGTATACTATATTCTCAGCCAAATATGATATATATATATATATATATACAAATGGACTGTAAATATGATTGAGGAGGTTCAAGGTAGTATGATAGCTTAATATCTGTGTAAGCACTACAAGTGAGAAAATTGATTCAATATAGCTGACAATGGTTTGGTCCCTTTGGAGTTTTTCGTCCGCAAAGATAAATCATAGCAATATATATATATATATATATATAAGAGAACCATTTGGCCTAAGGTTAGGTCACTGTGTCCCGAATATTTGCCTTTAACAAAGTTATGCTTGGTGGTCGACGTGCCCAGCAATCTACGACAACGATGAAATGACGTGGGCGTGAACGATTGAGCAATCTACTTAAGAAATGAATGGAATAGCTTCGATGTTCCGTTGGTCCATGTTTTATGCGCTCATTGGTTAAGAGGCATGGTTATGCTAAACAGTCAACTAACTCGATAAGAGTTAATGTGCGAGAAGACAAGCGGCGCTTTTGTGTGTGCCCGTGTAAAATATAGTGCATGTGAGTGGACGGCAATACGTGGACGAACCGATGAAGGGCTTCACCAACTGAAACAGGTCGATCGAGTAGAGTCGAACGCACAAGCACCACAGCCTTCCACCGAAGTGAAGCTGACACCGCGAGCAGCCACTTAATATTATCGCCCTGTTTTTCTTTGGGTTAGGTTCAACGGAGTGAGCAGCTTTCTGCAATCGAAGGTCCAAAAGGCGCCGCTGACGTTTACGTTATGACGACTACTTGTACCTGAGCAAGCCATCGTTGTTGACGAACGTTACCAGCATATCTGCCATAGCTAACCGTAACTGATGGGAGATGACGATGTCGTCGAAGATGGAAGGGCTTTTCCTCATCTTAGTATAATAGAAAGCTTATTTTAGCTATTCGCAGTGCTTTGGGTCGTACTGAGCTAGCTTCACTTTGTTTCTTATAGTGACGTTTAGTCAGTGGATGGGTGACTGGTTGACTGACTCGCTTAGCGGCTAGTGGAACGGTGATGTCTGCTAACGTGGTCGTTTATTGCCAGTGCGCGTCTCATTCGCGGCTGGTTACACACGTTACAAGAAGATTCTCGCTGTTGTTGCTTTTGCTGCTGTTTGCTGTGGCGTAGGCATTACAGATTGGCGTCAGTTTGCCGCAGACTACAGCGGCAGGGTGGCCTGGGCAGCCGTAGGACGAAATGCACCGAGACCAAAAGCCAATCGAACTGCACTCGGTTCCGCATGGCACGTATATGAATAGAGATATAGCGCTGCAGAAAACGGAGAGATAAAAAGAAGACGAAAGGAAAAAATGTTAGAACAGCGTTCCTGAACATCGAAAAGGAATGAACGCCGATTCAGACAAGTAGTAACGGCAGTAGAAAGAAAGGCATAAGTTTCCGCGCTCCGAAACTGCCGTCGTAGCGACGTTAAGCACTATGAATGATTCGACCAACAAACAAAGCACTATTACGCCACGTTACTATTATTGCGCTTAAAACTGTAGTATAGCGTACTCAGAAAGGGCGCGTTCAAGTGAGGAAAAAATTTCTTCGGTTAATATTGTGTCAACAAACAAGTCTCAACCTTAGGGTACCCGATCTGGTATCCAGGATTTTTGCAGGGCTTTTATTTCTAGGACGTATTCATAATGCAAACAGCAATGGCAGGGCGGTAGTAGACGGAACAAACAGTAGAGTTTCGTGGCAGACGAAGAGAATATTCAGACTATCCTCATGGTGCTGGTGGCCGCCAAAAACGGCTACAGCATTAGTAATTAACACAGGGAATCGTATTGGACGAACTATACGTTCTCAATATCTTCAGCTCCGTCAAATGGGGCCATTGAGCAAGATCGGGCATCAGCATCGGCAGTGACCAGCGGCAATGGCGCAGACGTTACGTAGTCGTGAGACAGCGGACGAAGGTAAATGGGGCGTATGCCTTCGATCCAATCGGTGGAACAGGACGGGGAGATTCGACAAACATAAGAAGTTGAAGATAGGCACGGCGAAAACCAATGTGTGCGGAGCGATGATATCCTGAGGAATAGCAAAGACCGCAGCAGAAATGGTGGCCCTATAGTAGCATCGACGAAGCAACCAACGAACAGTATTGGAGGCTATATACGTTTTTTGAAACAATATTGTACATATAGATATATATACATTGTGTGTGGTTGTGTATCGGTCTATGTGTGTGTGAGTGAATGTCTACGTCGCCGTGCCGCAAAGGTACCTCACAACTTCTCGAATGAAAATAGCGGCAGTTACGAAAGATCGAATGCCAGGAAGCGGGGGAGGAGCGCGAGAAGGCGGACTACGGATCGCGGTTCACGGCGAGACCGATTGAGACGAGACGTCGGATGAGGATCGAGCTGAGGAGTCGAGACCGAAAAGGAACGAGGGCTTAATGATGGACCTGTGGTTCTTGACTGCACGCGTAGTGCATCTAACGCATTAACAACTTCGCTAGCTTTTTCCCTCCCTCTTTCTCTCTCTCTTTCTCTCTCTTTCTGTATGAAACCGCCATTGACACGCCGCTACGACGACGACGACGAAGAGCAGAGTTAGCTCTCATACAGCGCCGATCATCATACGTCTGTTGTTGTTGTCGCCATCAGGTTGTGGGCGAGTATTAACAACAGCCAGAAGTTATACCGAACGTTGAATCGATTGGGCCTATAGTGGCCAAAGGAAGATGATAACTGACCGAGAAAAACAAGTCTGAGCTTGTGTCTGTGTAATCTCGACATAATGCCTGGACGTAGGTTCGGACAGAAAAACACACCGACAGTCTGTCTGACAAATGGCGTAGAGAGTGTAGGAGAATAAGCAGCAGTGACCTGAGTAAGTGTTCTGCTCTGAGACGAACGGGGCAATGGAGATTTAAGTCAGAGAAGTGGTAGAAACCGCGATAGTTCTCCTGTCAGTGAGTTGTACTAGTGGAAGCTTAAAGGAGTCTTCATTCTGTTTTTGGGAGTGATCAGACTTCGAGCGAATAGGGGAAACGAAGATAGAAAAAGAAAAGGCAATGGTTTTGATATCCTTCGAAGTCGTAGTGATACTAACCGCTAAACTGAAAGTGGTTGTGTAGGTGGGGAAGCTATTGTGCCTAAATACCATATCTTCTGTATACGACTTGTTCTTGTTGTCGATTTCGCTATTATTGTCGCTTGCCGTTAATGGTGCGACTGCAGGCCGAATCCAAGAACCGGGGAAGCTAGCAGGTTTTGAGGTAGCACATAAATACACACAGTCGCAACCACAGATTCAGCGTCGCCACATACATTCCGTGAGGCCCTTCAATATCCATCGCGCGTTGTTTTGCCCACGTTGGTGGCGTCTCTGGCGGCTGCGCTATGGAGTTAAGGGCGAAAAACCAACGAGAAACTGACGGAACAAAAAAAAGATGACAGAACAGGCGGACACGACGCTACTAACCACCCCCGCAAAAGGCCGCAGCCGTAACAAAGGTTTGATCGTGAAGAACAGAGAGTGTTCGTTTGTTATTATTGCTGGTACTAAGTACATACGTAAGAAAGCTCGCGACAGTACCGCTTTGAGCGCAGCAAACCGCAACGCGTCAACGAGAGGAAAGAGTTTGTCAGTATATATATATATGTGTGCATGAATGCGTAGCTCAACTATTGCAGGTGCTAAGATGTGGGCTTTGAAAAGATCAACGGCGGCGGCCGCCGCACCGTGGAAACTGAATGAAAACTGAAGAAACAACGAAGTTGTTATTGTTATGATGGCAGCAGCATCTGCTTTTGATGCCACTGGTGGAAGCCCAGATAACACAAAGATGAACAATGACAGCAGGAAGAATAAGAATCTCTGGTGTACATGGATACACAGATAGGGATTATTTTACTAAGCGTGTGACAATAGTATATAAAGTCATAGTAATTATTGTTTGCGGGGCCAGTGGAACTCACTCAGCACAACTTGCATTTTTGCATATAGCAGCAGCAATAGAAAAGGCAACATCTAAAAGTGTAGAAAGTAACCGTGCTTTCTGCTAAAGTGCAGTGCAAAAAAACAGAACACACATCTGTAGGGTTTCCCTTCTTGTGTTTAATTATATGTTCCTATAAGTGCTGCCGTTAGAATAGCTGTTGTCGAACTGGTGTTTAGATCATCTTGGAGAATGGCAGTAATTTAGAAAGTACACAAAATCCGAGAAATCATCTTGTCATCCGGTGACAAATAAGGAAACAAAGCTGACAAGCGCGTTGTTGCTAATTCATCTTCAGTAATATCTGTATCAATATTATATAGTGTAGAGTGGGGTCCTTTACCATGGATGTTGCAGGAGGTTCAATTCATTGGGAAGATTCGATTGCAGCAAGGCGACATGTGCCTGCCAAAGAACGATAATTTCCACGACAACAGCAATGGTAGACGGTCAGAATTGAAAAGGATAGCTAGCTACTCTACCCGCAGAAAAAAACGGGTACAAGGAAGTGAAAGCGTTTAGACAAAATTGAGCAGTTTGATAATGCGCAAGAATCAAGTATGAGTCAAATCAGCGCAAACTGAAAAGCGTTCAGAGTGAATTCACTTTGGTACCTAAAACGAGCTAGCTTTTATAAAATTCTTTCATCAATGAAAGCTTCTATTGTAATCCTGGATTTAGTATATTATCCTGTACGGCATTAATAACCAATGCGGGGACAATAATAGATGTTATGTTTAAAGCACCTACTGCTATTTTTGCAGGGGTTATTTGCTGGCTCATTTATATTCATTATTAAAATAAGGCTTAGTGTTCTATTATCTTAGATCGGTCAGAAAATAGTATTTCCTGTTCACTTCAAGTTTCGCCAGTTGTTACAAAAAATGGATTTTGCCGGATGGAATAATATTATTGGTTTTCCATAACTTTTCTTCGCGGTGCGGGCACACGGACTTCTTAGCAAAATAAGTAGGCACGAAATAATCGATTCACTGACCCATTTTCGGACTTCGATCTCTCATGGTAAACATCCTGCAAGCCGTGCTGTATGGATCTGAACATTTACCTATCCCATAAGCAAGGTCGTGGCTTCAGTCAGGATACAAAAGAATTTTTTATCCAGGGTTATGAAAAGTTTTCGCATCGCCAAAGTTATTGGCGTTTGGCCTTGTTATGCAGCAAAATCACTTGGCCCTCGGAACGCCTAACGCAACATGCAGGATTGCGCGAGCCTTATGTCTTTTGTCTTGTGTGAAAGAATCCCGAATGCACTATATTTTCATCTCGCGTACCGATATTGGCTAAAAATTACCCTGTTTCTTTGTTTCGCAAGTAATAATTTGCAAATTATTAGCGCTTGGCAATTGTGTTTTTACTGAGCTCATATGATTCTTATTTTCGACCTTTTAAAACCTTTTCTAATACGACGCGAGACAGTAGTGTAGGTTACTTTTTTTTTTTTACAGAGAGCCCTTAAGGTTGTATTTTTAGACTATATATTTAACGACTGCTGACCAATGTGCTCTTGTGTGCTCGCGTTCCTTGGTCTTTGTACGTTTTTAGGAAGTCCCACTGAACCTTCCTCGGCGTGATAAATGCCAACTCAGCCAACCTCATCCCATGTCCCGAAGTACAGAAAATACTCGGTATTTGCAGGAAGTTATGAATTGACGGATTTTCTTATCGAGAATGTGCTGATCGACTTTGCGAGAGTACTTCTTCCTTGGATCAGTAAGAAAGAATGGCAGTGTTGCGACTTAGGTCTCGTCGATTAAGCACAATCAAGCCACGAAGACGTACCCGTACCATTTTGCGTAGACCCTCGACAATAGGATGGCAAGAGTCACCTCATTACAGGCGCAAGATCAACAACACCAACAAGAAAGTCAAAGCAGCATTGCCCAGCTTACATTCGCCAGAATTTCTCGTTAACCCTTGAAGACGACTGCATTCCCTATCGCAAATATAATCGCCACCAGCCAGTGTGGATGTTTGCGCGAGACAGAACGTAATACAACGTTTATGAGTGTTGTATGATAACAGAGTAGTGCATATCGCTTGTAAGATCAACGATAAGGTTAATTCGGAAATCGACCTCGGAGGTAAATGGTGTTGGAGGTTATGTTCAGTTCCGACATTAGACTGGTCAACAGAAAAGTTTATGAATGTTTATACATGTGTATGCTAAAGAGTTTCGTGGCGTTTTTTTTTCATTGAGTGATGGTGTGGAAAAGCTAGTGTCATAATTGCACGCGAATCAGAAACATGCGGCACCGGTGACCGTACCTCATCCTGGAATAGGAGTCATATTTGAGAAAACCTTTTTCGCTAGAAAAGATAGCACTAGTATGGGCATTGTTTAGCTTTTTGGTTCCACGCTGAGAGAGATTCTTTCTAAGAGAATGTCAGTGACTATTCGTGTGGCGATAAAAATGGATGTTGACAGTGTCGTGTATAAAGCTAAAAAGTATATTAAGAGCACCGATAGGCCAACTGCAGTAGCTTTATGGACTAATTATCATGAATGCATACAACCTGAAAAGGACAGATATAACAGTAAGGTGGAGAGTTTTTCAGGGACTCTAATCATGTCGTACATGTGTTCTCTGTTTTTTTTTGGCCGGGACAGCAAAACTGCAAGTAATATTATTGCGAAATAAGTGGATCAAAAATTTGCGAATTTTTCGGCTCTTCCATTATCCATACCAAAGCATCCTGTTCCTTAGAGCGGTGCAGAAGATTGTCTACAACATTGCCAGGAAGCTAAAGTCTTTTTTGCGACGTAAGAATCCTAATAACTGAGAGGGGCAGGAGCCAGAGGATGTTCACTTGAAGTCCACTAATGACAACAATAAGAGGAAATTTAAATAGCAAATCCAGCCAGCTCAATCGGACCCCTTAGTACCGAATATTCCAGCAGTTGCGTCAACTCCAAAAATATGAATCGCCGTCGACCGAAGCCAACGTCAAAGAACCGCCGATGGGAAAAGCAGCATTAACCAAACGGTTGGACCACGGCTAACAAGTTCCACCCACTTTAACGATCGAGGGCTTTGGGAAACACGCTTTAGCGGCACTGAGAACTACAGGGCTAGCTTCAGTACGCGAGACCTTGAATCAGTGCAGCCGTTCACAAGAACGATCACAGAGTTTGCAGTGATGTTAGACCGTGAGAACCAAGAATTGCATGATGGAACTGTGGGGTGGCCGCATCTCTGGCGCTATTCTCCCGTGACAGCCGTGGATAGCATAGATATCTTTGTGCTGACGGAGTTTTGAGCAGCTAGCTTGCTTAAGTTACGGCGTTTCGACTCTCTGCACTGCCTTGCAATTGAGAGCAACAGACCTAGTGAGGGCATCACCGTTTTCCACAACCATAAGATAAGCTACCTCACTCCACAAGAGTGACGTGTAGTCGAGTAGGCAGTCTTGTAGAGAATAACGTCACTGCCTTACTTGGCCAGCGACTAAGTCCCGCAGCAGTTTAGCTGTAGCCGACTGATTCGAAATCAAGGTACGTAGTGGTGGACAAACTTGTCAATAAACGTGAAGCGCAGTTTTCTTACTCTAGCTCTCCTCTGGTCATTCTAACGACCGTCTAGTACTATAACCATCGATTAGTCGAACTTGAGTGACACAACGACCTTTTAAGACATACTCGCTTTGATCCCACATTGATCCTAGTTTTTCCAGAAGATGCAGGAAGTTCAGTTACCTTTGACGAACGTAGCCAGGTACAGGATAAAGTTTTAGGGTGAAAATCATTCTCTCTTAGAGCACGCAAGTACTCGCACTTACATACCGATGGCGAAAGATCTCTTGGTCCAAGCTACATCAGCGCAGACTGTCAAACGCTAAGCAGCGCCTATATGTAAACAAGAGAGAAGTCGTCAATAAAATTGGGTGGTCACAGATTTGGTACTGGCCTTAAACTTAACGAAGACAAAGATGATAAAGTTTAGAAAGGAAGGTGGGACAGTGATTACTGGATACCGTGTATTTCGCTACGTCGCCTCTTGCCTATATAAACCCGTTTCAGTAGGTAGGGTTGCCCTTCTTCGCAGACGGCAGAATTTTCATTGTGCACGGCACCGAAAAATACGGGAAGGCTGTGTTGCCCGCATGGGGAACAGAATCGCCTTATCGTTCATGCAACTATTTTGTTTGACCTCAGAATAGCTCCGAATACAGCGTATGGGATACGCATCGTTCGAGAAGACTAGAGAATCTTCCTGCGGGCTTCCTTTCTCACAAAAAGCACTGGAACTACTTATAGTGATCCAAGATTGGTTCGTCCATCTTGTCACTGTGTCCGAAGGCCTATGTGATCACTTTAAGCTTCTAGCAATGGAAACCTTTAAAACGAACCCTAGAAACTTGGAGCGACAGTTCGTGAAAATTGATGAGGATTTCTTTATTTCGGATGTGACTGGGAGGAATGGAACTGGCTAAACCGACATATAGCCACTCATGCTCACCGTGCATAAGTTCCAATATAAATTTTGCAGGAGATCAGGTTTTCTCGAGGCTAGATAGGTGCTCCAAGCGCGGAGGAAACTGTGACCGATATAGTGTCGCTCGTTGCCCCCTGGTGCCATATTTAGGACAGCCGGCAATTCTCAAACTACTTTTATAAAATCGACAAGACTTGTGTAACCCATGTGACGCAAAATGTTCTAAAAGGTTTTATATATTTTCTCTAATATTGGAAAATTGCGTTGTTGATCGTATATATTAAATTTTTGACAAAAGTTAAATAAATAAAATTTGGTTGATTGAATTTTAGGCCATAGAGCCGGCAGTTCATCATCGTCTGCCTCCTACAGCCCTATGGAGCGTTATTTGTAGTTTAAAGCGAAGTCGATAGTTTCAGTGTTTCGAAACAAGTTTCAGTAAGTGCTATCGAACACAATAAAAGATCCATTGAAACCCGTAAGCAATACATGTTCTAACAGTTGCACTTCTCGCAGCTCGGATGTGCTAAAAAAGCACCTTCCATTATACACTTTCTCCCTACAAAATTCTGTCACGAAGAAAACCAATACAAATGAGCCCAGTAAGCATGTAAGCGACAAAACATACGCGTAGTAATTCTTAAACAGAGTCTACCGAGAAACAAAATATGCCAATAGCATGTTAAAAAATTACATTCTGACCAACCTAATGGGTTGGTCAGAAATTATGGGACAAATCGTTAAGGACATGTATGGATGCATCTACTCAGGTACTACAAATCACCCTTTCAGTCAAATTTCATAAAGGCAGTGCAGTGGCCATATGCGGCAGTTGACGATTGGTTTGCTCGTTTTGATCAATGACTTATTCTCTGTTCGTGAAGCGCAGCCATTCAAGGAGGGTGGAGATGTCTTGTTCTGCAGATGAGCCTGGCACACGTCTCAGCCAGCGAACCGTCAATGGGCATCCGGGTCTCGAGCGGCAGCTGCAAGAAGTCCAACTTTCCTTTGGACTCGAAACACTAGCACCCGGGACAGAAGCGACAGCAGCAGCCTGAGCTCAATAGCGCCCGCTAACCGGCTGTTCTTTTCATGTGGCCGGACGGAACGCGTGTAACAGTGGTACTTGCTATACATATATCTATCTATATACTTGCTCACACATATGTAAGCAAGTACACGTAACAGCCGTTTACCTTCTGGAGAGGACAGGGAGTCAGGCAGATAAACAGACAGGCAGGCAGGCGCACATATACCGGCATTGCGTCGCGTTCTACCCTTCTACAAAGGAAGAAGTAGATTGAAGGAGGAAAGAAATAGGGGCGATAGAATGGACCGGTCTACTTATTTTTACAAGACATTGTACACTTACAACCATTTAACCAAACGTTACCGAAGCCTCTGTTTGACGTTCGTTCCATTCAACCCGCGCCACAACCAGGCACTTCGGATAACGAATTTTTAGGTATGTAGCTCATCAAGCCTTGATTCTACATGTTCAGCCATGTCTTCTACAAAACATCGATGAGACTTTACAGCTTGAATTACTCAAAACAGATGAACATATTCTCGCACAACAAAAAATTCACACAAAAAAATCTAAGGAGGTTGAAACGGTAAAGCTACCAGAGACTGGAGTTAGCAACGACAACCAACCACTTTGGCCAGTACAATAGATACTGTCCATTGACGCACTTTAAAAAATATAATACGATACCACCGATGTAAATTTTTGGACTAAGCAAAGTGTTGAAAAAAATACAATGTGCACTAGCAACTTTGAAGTAAATGCTATGCACTAGGTCGGGATCCAGAATGCTTCTACGAAATGGGATGCTACGCTAAAAGAAAGCAATATATTTTTTAATTGCAGCAAGCCTGTCTAAAATCAGCACACTTGCACAATGCACAGGTAGTAACGAGAATTCAAGGCTTCTTATAATTTGGGCACTTTTCTGGTCAATTTTATCGGTACAGGTAACAAGTCCCCCTAGTTATTATCTGCCATTCAAAGGGTTATACGAAAGTGTTTTACTATCGCACACATATTAGATAACTGCTGAGATTTTATTACAGCTGGTCACTCATGACCCCCATAGTCCCCTATTGGGATCAAAAGAGCAAGGGGAAGCTCATTCTCTTGGTTATCAGTTTAGCGCGTAGCAGTCGACCAGATGATTTACAATTTGAGGCGAACTCATAACAAAACCTCTTCTACTATGAGCTACCATGATGCCCGGACTACGTGTAGCGTCAGCTCAAGCGAACAGTCATCGTCAATTCGTTGATTGATATATTCAATATAGCTGCATCAAATTACATTGATGAGCATCAAAAAGCTTGTTGGTCATCGTATTGGCTAACAAGCTGAGTAAATGCCTTTCGAAGAAGCATTGACAGCGCTTTTGCCATATGCATTATAACCGTGCAAGATGAGACCTGCTGATCGAACAGTAGACAAACAGCTGGAATATCCGATGCACAGGAGGGCACAGAATTGTTCGGAAGGTCAGATATAGGACATTGATACTTAATCCAGCTGGCTATCACTTCCTGCGGTAACGATCATAAAAAGCCATTCAGGGATCTATAATGTGCTTAATATATATATATAATCATGTTGTTAAAAGTTAACTCAAAAATGTTATTTTTTTAACATTTCTGCTAGACGAATTGCTGTTTATAGAAAAAGGCATGGTTTATTGCGCTATCCTCAATTCTCATCTTGATGATTGAGACTACGTGCAACTTGGGGCTAGTTGTCTTATAATATAGTAGTCGATTTCAGCACGTTGCTCATAGGAAGTACTGCTACTTACTATCTGGATAGACCATGTTCAAGTTTCCTTCTTTAAAGGACTGTCTAGCAAACTGGAAGAGCCCATTTGATCATACCCAAGGGATGAATACTTACTTGAGTAAAAGGTATTGTTAACATGGATCCTTGTTCTAACCACTGCATGTTGTTTAATTTTCACTCTCCAGTTTTGTCGTAGATGCATTCAAGCTCTGTTGGTTCAGTCTTCTCTAGCATTGAGATAATACGGAGGCTACCTTTCCTCAACCCTAACATTATAAATCCTAAACCGCTAAATACGATAGTACCGCTAAAAATCTAATAGATGTAGCCAACAATAGACTAAAACTGATTGGGTTTTTTTTTTGTTAAAATTCATTACCGTAGCTTCGAAACGATACTGGGTTCACAACTCAGAAAATATAGCTGTCCTAAATAAAAAGTCAGTCAAATTCCCCTATGATATTCTCTTAGATGCGTTAACTAATGGGAAAATTAAGAGAAATTTGTATAATCGGCCAAATCAATGGCGATCGCTAACCCTTTCACCTTGCAATTCTCCTCTTTATCCAAAAACTAGTGTTAGTTCTGAATCTAAACAGCGAATTGGTTGATAGATTTCTTGTACTAGCACGTATCTGCGTATGCACATGTTTGAGTATCAAAGCGAGTAGCAGAGCGGTCATCACCCACTGACCAGACGGCCGCGCGGTAGACGCCATCTGGTGCGGAGCGTCGGCAGTCTGTAGTTCATCCATCGTGATAGGGTTAGTTGGTAGTCAAGCGTCAGGAACGCTGCTATGGCGGGCATCAAGCTGGTTTGATACCGCAGTTCTTAGCGGGATAGCTTTTGTCGATATCTTCCTTTAGATGCACACAGACACGAGCCACTTCATGCCTCATTCTATTGCAGTAGTAACCAGTCTAGTAACCCGTCGAGGCCGTGTACTGAGCAGCAATTGATGACCCTGCTACCAGGCACTCACTCGTGCTGCGTTGAAAGTCCGTGTCCGATGCATACGATAGCTTTTCCTACAACTCTATATACGATAAGCCTACATAGAGGTAGCAATCGAAAACCCCCTTCCTCTTTTCCCTCCATGTGTTTGTGCCTCTCGAAGGGTCATCCGGACACGTGGCAGCTGAGCAGGTCAACTTAAATATACGATAGTAGACTACGGAAGGCCTCCACAAAACTCGTCGATACCGGCAGCCGATATACGCTGATATGCCTTATGCGTATTATTGTGTGCGTGTGTGTATATGTAAGCCTTTGCAAGATAGAACAAAAGGTCCTGTGCATAATGTGTATAACCTGTCGTGTGATATTTACGAGGCGTAGTACATTTTAACGTTTACTCATTTGCTGAGGTTCTCGTCATTGCCGAAATCTAAATCTTACTCTTAAGACGCTTGCTGTACACGTGGTTGACATGCCGATAGCTTCCATTACGCTAATAGTTAACCCAACTGATTTAAGTGGTATGGCCGTTTTGAATCGATAAACATTTCTCTGCCAATTGAAGGATACCTTGAAAAACAAATCACACGAATTAAAATTAGCGCTTAAATCTATTTATGGCAAGAGGATACTCCGCTTTGGGTAGACTGCAAAATGCGTATCTTTTCAATTACATTTAGGTCATAGGAAAATATAAATGTACTGTTTATTTATCTCTTCTAACGGACTGGTAACCCATTAATCCTTTGAGCCGGGTAGCCTGTCGTAGCGTATGGTCGAAGTAACTAACAGTTCCAGATGTCAGAAATGAAAAGATCTGGCTTCAGTAAGCTAGTCCAAATTACCTTAGATTACGTTAGAATATTAAAAGAGTTAAAACTCTAGTCCACTGATAAGTATCGTACTTCTGCTAATCTA